GAAACTACACTCCATACCTTGCAATAGCCTATAATGAAAAAAGAATATGAAAAAAGGTGGGGTATAGCTCAGTGGTAGAGCACAAGCCTAGCATGCATGAGGTCCTGGGTTCAATCCCCAGCACCTCCTTTAAAAATAATAATAATAATAATAATTAAATAATAAACCTAATTAACCTCCCCAATTTTTTTTTAATTTTTAAAAGAATATGAAAAAGAATATATATGTATGTATAATTGAATCACTATGCTGTACACCAGAAACTAATACAACATTGCAACTCAACTATCTTCAAATTTAAAAAAAAAAATTAAAGTATCCAGAAGACCAGGTATGGCCTTTTATCTGTTCAGCTCTCTCTGGACCTTGATGCAGAGCCTGGTGTTTAGTTATCAAAGTTCTGCTGGGAAGCCCTTCCTGCTATTCATTTTAATCTTGCACGCTTGCACGTAAAGCCTGGAAGGTCCAGGAGGCTAACCAGTTTTCTGCCCCATTGCAACAAAAACATCCCTCCCCAAGCTTCTTTTTTTTTTCCAGTGGGGTGAGGTCATCAATTAGGTTTATTTATTTATTTTTACAGGAGGTACTGGGAATTGAACCCAGGACCTTTTGTATGCTAAGCATGTGCTCTACTACTTGAACTATATACCCTTCCCCTCTCCCCAAGCTCTGGCATCCGTCTTAACCCCAAAGAAGAGAGAGTCCCAGAGAAAAATAAGTCCTGCCCCTCTGCTCCCCTCTCGAGGGGTTCAGCACTTTCCTGAAGCAGAATGATCTTTCTCTGGCATGAAGAGGTTCACATTGCTCCCGCCCTGCTCCTGCTCTGCTTAAAAGCATCTCCTGTGTCTCCATTGCCCATATCAGAAAAGCCAGGCTGCTTAGACCAACCCACATGCCCTTTATCCCAGGGCTCAGCCCACCTGCCTCATTCACCAGCAAGATATAGAAACCACACTAGCTACTTTAAGCAGAAAGACATTTCATGCAGGTAATTCCGTGTTTACAAAATCATCAGAAGGGCTAGAGGAACAGGCGGCACCTGCAGGAGTGACTCCCAGAAAAACATGCCACCCACCTTGAGGACTGTCCCCTCTGGTACCATCAAGCAGGTAAAGAATCAGGAGCCGCCCAGGGTCTGTTGGCTTCAAGAACAATCCCCTGACTGACTCAGGGGTCAGGAGGCCGTTTCAGCAACCACCTCTCCTCACCCACAGAGCTGGACACTGGATACTGGCAGGCAGGTGCCCCAAAACCCAGTGTCTCCAAAACACTGATATTTTTTCCCCTAGGAATTCATCTATTTTTTTTTAATGTTGGCCATTTATTATTTTTTTACTGGAAGCACTAAGGATTGAACCTAGGACCTTGTGAATGCTAAGCATATGCTCTACAGCTGAGCTACATCCACCCCACCTGGATTCATCTATTTAATATAGGGATGTAACAGTTATCAATATTAGGCACTATAAAATGTAGACCGTGCTGAGCAGTAGCAACAAGCCATGGTCCCAGGTCCGTCTGATTGACTGAACCCGCTGCCTACCCAGAACTCTAGCAGCAACGGAGTCTAAGGAGCGCAGGGTCCAGCCTCTCCCGCTAAGGAAGGCTCACTAGGAGAAGACTGGGTGGAGGTTGATGCTACACACACTCCGTCTCTCCAGATTCTTCTCCCAACATTCTCCCCACACTCACCCTGAGTTCCAGCTCCAGAGACCTCTTCGAGGGTCCTGGGAACACCCTAGGCTCTTCCTCACCTCTCTGACCTTGCTCAGACTGGCCACCACCGCCCTCCACTTTGAATGTCCTTCATAATCTGAGATGTTTTCTCTGACTCCATGAAACAGGGGTTACTAGAGCCCAAAGCTGTCCAACACAAATATAATCAAGACACATATGTAGTTCTAAATTTTCTAGCAGCCACATATAGTAGATAGAATAACTGCCACTCCCAAAATATCAAGTCTTAACTCCTAGAACTTTCAAAGGTTACCTTATTTGGAAAAAGGATCTTTGCAGACATAATTAAGCTAAGGATTTCAAGGTAAGATTATTCTGGATTAGCTAGGGGAGGCCCTAAATGTCATCATAAGGGTCTTTACAAGACAGAGGCCAAAGATAACACACACAGAGGAGAAAGCCTAGTATAGACAGGGCAGAGATTAGAACAATGTAGCCCCAAGCCCAGGAATTCCAGGGCAGCCACCCAGAAGGTGGAAGACGCAGGGAACAGATTCTCTCCTACAACCCAGTTCCAGGCTGCTGGGCTCCAGACTGTGACTGAATACATTTTTGATGTCTTAAGCCACCAGGTGTGTGACCATTTGTTCCCACAGCCTCAGGAAACAGGTAACATACATCTCCAAAGGTGAAAAGAAGCAGGTGAAATTAATTTGGAGAGTATAGTTTATTTAATCCAATCCCTGCAAAAATAGTACCATTTCACCATGTGATCAATATAAAAAAGCATAATGAGATAGTTACATTCTTTTTTTTTTTTCAAACAAAATCTTGGAAATCTGGATTGTCTTTCACATCCACGACACGTCTCAATTCGGACCAGCGACGTCAAAAGGGCTGAAGAGCCACATGTGACTAACGGCTACCATCCTGGACAGGTCAGCTGCCCTCCTTTGTAGGCCTCTAGGCGAGAGATTTGGGGCCATGTTTGCCTAGGAGTCACCCTCTCCCACAGACAGTGTGCTTCTTGGGGGCAGGAACCTTGTCTCATTCATCTCTGTATCCCAGGGCCTAAACGCAGGAACACGCAATAAATGTATTTTGAATGAAAGAAAAAAAAAAGATTTGTCAGAAACTACATTTTGGGGGTTTATTTGATTGATTCTCCTTCTTTTTTAGTGAGTGGAGTTCAGGATACATCAAAATGTAGGTGGAATTTTTTAAAAAATCTCCTTGGAATCCCTTCTCTTAGAAGCACGGATATAGACCAAGTTGCCCCCATCAGCCAGAGAAATGCTGCATTTTGAGATTAGAAAGAAATGCTGTGAATTGGCCTGTATCTATTAAAGAAATGGAATCTGGGGGAAAGGGGGCTAGCTCAGTGGTAGAGCAGGTGCTTAGCATGCATGAGGTCCTGGGTTCAATCCCCAGTCCCTCCATTAAAATAAATAAGTAAATAAATAAAAACCTAATTACCTCTCCCCCCCCCAAATAAAAGAAATTTAGAAAAATAAATAAATAAATGGATTCAGTAATTAATAACCCTCCAAAACTGAAAGCTTCAGGCCCAGATGAGTTTCCTGGTGACTTCTACCAAACATTTAAGGAAGAAATTATACCAGTTCTCCACAATCTCTTTCTAACTCAAACTCTCTAATTCATTCTATGAGGCCAACAATCCCCAAACACAAAACCAGACAAAGACGTTGCAAGAAAACTATAGACTGATATTGCTCATAAGCATCAATCCAAAAATCCTCAACAAAATATTAGCAAATTGAGCCCAACAAGGTATAAAAAGTGATACACCACTACCAAGTGGGATATATCCCAGGTATGCAAGGCTGGTTCAATATCCAAAAATCAGTTAATGTACTTCCATCATTTTAACAGGTGAAAAAGGGGAAAAAATTACATGATCTTATCCAGAGAGGCACAAAGAAATGCTGTCCCGTCCCCTGGGGAGGCTGATCACGGGAGGGGGAGGGGGGAGCAGGGGGAGGTTAGGGGAAAGGCAGAGGCGGGGTGGGAGTGGTGGGGGGCAGGGTCTGTGAGGCGGCTGAGGCTGGAGTCAGTGTTCCTGAGACTGGCTTAAGGTGACGGAAGTGGCCAAATGTGAAATCAAAAGAGTCAAACCTGCCAGGAAAGATTGTAACCCTCAGACACAGGTCATCAAGGTGGGGTTTCCAACCCTGATGAGCTGCAGCAAAAACTGTCCCTGGTGCCCACCCCCAGGGAGGCAGCCAAGGCCAAGGCCAGAACACCCCAATCCTGGCCTGACATTTCACGCCCCGCCAACCTGCCCCTTCCACCTGAAAAACTCAGCAGCCAGCCGCCCGTGAATCAGGCTTCTTGGGCACTGCCCGCTGGCTCACAGCTACGTCCACCGCAAGGGAGGGGCAGCGTTTTCTTCATTCAAAGACACAACTGCTCACCAAGCCATGGGCCAGCTGGGCTGTGCGAACACACAGAGATGCCTTTCAGTGTTATGGTCAGGAGGGCACACCTTTCACAACTTTGCACAGCTGTGCTAGCTGCTCTCCCACAACACTGGCTCCTCATGCCACCATGAAGCCACAGAGCATCAAACACTTTAAGACCAGAAGCCCTTGCACTGAGCATAATGGGGCCACCCACCTGTCCCTGAGATTAGTCATTGCTGGGATCCCCACGAATCTTCGGGCTGGAGACTTTGCCAGCTCCCTGGCTTCAAACCAACCTGCCCAGATGGGGTTCTACTACCAGTGCCCCCCCAGAATGGCTGGAGGCCTCCTCACAACATTCTGGGATCCCTGGCACAGAACAGGGAGGGAGCTGGAGCCAGGGAGAGGGGATGCCTGGACTTCTGGACTTCCTGCCATCATTCCCATGTGGAATCTCCACCAGGCTGTGCAGAGGGCTAGCCCGTGAGTGGGTGAATGAATGAAGTCAAGCCAGGCTCTGAGCCCCTTTTCAAAGCCCTCCAGACACTCAGAGCTTCCTCTCTTGGCCTGTGGGAAGGGTCTGCTGTCCACTGGCATCTTGCTTCCCCAAGCCAAGTTCTCATTTTCTGCTAGGCTCTGCCAACCCCTGGCCCCTCCCCTGGCTGGGTAAAGGGAATGCTCCCAGCACAGCTTGTTCCTAACAAGCCCCATCCAAGCAGGGGTTCCCCAGAACACATGGTGATCAGGGAGGGATGGGGACAGCAGGAAGCTTGGGAACCCCCCCTACATCCAGCCCCAGACTGCCACCCAATGCTTCCCTTCCCCCGCCCACGCCAGCCCTACCTGGGCTCGTCCAGACATGTGGGTGGGGCTTGCGTGCTGTCAGGCCACGTGTAGGGCCCCAGGGAGGAGGGAGGGCGGGGCTGGAGGGCTGCTCTTAAGGCGTGGCTGGAGGTGAACTGTGCCTCCCCTGGATCCGAAGGGCTCCAGGAGCCAGGAGTGAACACAGGAGTGTCCCGCCAGCCCTGGACACCAGGTAGGTGACTTTATTCTTTAAGCAGAAGAGAGGGAGGCTCAGCACCTAGGCCGAGTCTTTGTCCTCAGCTTCTCCACCTCTCCTGGGCCTCGGAATAAAGGTGAAGAGAAATAGTGGAGGAGAGAGGAGAGGAAGATGGTCTTGGGACCCCAGACCCAAGTGCTGCACTTTGGGAGAATGAAATCTGGAGCTCCTGGTATACAGATAAGAGAACCGAGGTCCAGGAGGGAAAGAGGATTGCCAGGGGTTCCTGAGACTTGGGAAGGGAATGGACTCAGAATCCAGCCTCCTGCCTCCCAGCACGGAGTCCCTGGGGCCTGGGTCTCACTCTCTACTCATCACCCACCCCACCTCCGCCCCACCCCCGTGCCCAGACCTTCAGGGGCCGCCAAGAATCCAAGGGTGGGGACATGACCTCCATGGGTCCCCCAGGTCCCTGGCTGCTTCCCTGGGGCTGTGGGGAGAGGATGGGACAATCAGAAGCCACTCTTTGAGCATGGGGGTGGGGTGGGGATTGGGCTATTGAATCAAGGTACTTGGGGGAGACTCGGGCTACCCCCTCTGCCACCCTCTCCCTCTGCTGACCTGGACTTGTAGGAGGGAAAGAGTAAATCTGGGGAAGAATTTGGCAATGAAACAAGCAAGGAAATTTGCTAAGGTATCAGGATCCTCATCCCTTTCCAGAGCCCTTAGGAACAAAGAAAGAGATTTGAGTCCAGTGGGTGGGCGGAATCTATAAATATAGCCAAATTGGCTGGAGCCCTCTCTACCCACTCCAGCCCACCAATTTCAATGCTGAGGCCAGGGACACTCCTCTCAGCCTTAGAGCAAGAAGGAAAAAGCTAGAGATGTGTGCTGGGGGCCCCAGGAGAGGGAGGATGTCCCGGAATAAAGGAGTGAGACCAGGCCCTGCCCTGGGAGTTCAGGGAGGCTTAAAAGTGAGAAGAGTTTGAGGAAGAGCCTAAGGGCCTGCCTGCCCCTTGTTCCATCTCAGGCCTATCCCTCTGGGTTCCAGAATCCCAGAAGGGGCAGAGAGAGGTGAAAGGGATCTTTCCCTGCAGAGCCAGGGACTGCAGAGCCAGGATTGCCTGGGTTCCAATCCAAGTTCCATCACTGGATTGTGTGACCTCAGACAAATCCCTTAACCTCCCCAGCCCCACAGGGAGAGTACCCTCTGCAAAGAACTACTGAGAAAACAAAATGAGTACATTTTTAAGTGTCTGTTATTCTCATATTCCCATTATACAGAGGGGACAACTGAGGCCCAGAGAGGAAAGGACACTTGCCCAGGGTGGCACAAAAGCAGTTTCCAAATCAGTAAGCAGACACCCTGGGTCTGGTCCTGAGGGAGGACTCAGGCCCCCCAGTGTGCTCCTCAGAGTCCATGGCCCCAGGCTCCTCTGCCGGTGCCCAACCAAAACCCCCGCAGGGTGCGCTGAGATCCTGCCCCAACAAACCCAGGCCACTAAGGAGCCAAAGCTCCATGTCCTCAGCTGCTCCCAGAAAGGAACTTGGAGGCCTGTTCCCTTCCACTGCCATTTATAGACACACTTTCCGAGCCTAGGATGCACCACCCCCTCCAGGACCAGGCCAAGGAGAAGTCTGGCAGCAGGGCCGGCAGGAGCCTTTGGGGAAAAGAGGGTTCTGGCTTTTCTCATTAACTTGCTGTGTGACCTTGGGCAACTCCCATCCCCTCTCTGGACCGCAGGTGTTCCTCTGCATTTGAACTCCACGTGGTATAAAGAGTTGAGAGTCTAAAGTCCATAGCCTGGGTTTGAATCCCAGCTCTACCACTTTCTTAGATATGTCGCCTATGCAGATTTCTGAACCTCTGTGAATCTGTGTCTTCATCTGTAAAGTGGACTGGTAGTGGGGGTGCAGTACTTCCAAGGGTTATGAGAGGATTAGAAGAGCTACCGCATGTAAAAAAACCAATGCCTGGTGAATGGACAGTGCTCAATAAATGAGAGCTATTACTGTTTATTATTATTAAGGTATTATATTCTATAGAAGCCCTTATTTCTAAGCAGTCTTTAGAATTGTCCACCTGCTTTTACAAGCAGCACCTCACTGGTTCCACACCACTCTTTGGGAGGGTACAGGGCAGGAATTCACATTCCCGTCTCACAGATAAGGAAACTGACCATCACAGTTACACCTTTAAGGAACTGTTTGAGCTGGGATTCGAATCTGAATCTTTAGACTCCAGAGTTCACATTCATTTCATTTACCCCAGGCTGGTCTCAATGCCTTTTCCAGCACTGGGGTCTGACTCTAAAACAGGATGTGATGGAGGCATCTTGGAAAAAGAGAGAAGCAGAGTTGGGGAGTGCTGGAGCGGGGCACGGAGGGGCGGCAATGGCGAGGCTCAGGGCAGGCAGGGCCAGCACAGCCAGCATGTCCCAGCTCCTTACAGTTCTCTTGGCGGCCTCCGTCCCAGATCTTCTTACTTCCTACCCAGCCCCACTGTAAGAAACTACTAATATGTGACATTAAGGTGAGACAACGGGAAGAACTTTCCACAGGCAGGGAAATGAGGAAGTGAAGACATCTCTTTCTCCAGACAAGCCCCCAGGGAGTGAATATCATCTGATGATGTCACTTCTCAGCTCAAAACTGTTCTGTGGCTCCCCACTGCCCTCAGGGTTGAGTCAGCACTACTGAGCCCAGCCTGCCTTCCCCACCCTAACTTCCCCTCCAGCCACCCTCGAGTCTCTCTATCTCCCAGATGCTCAGTAATGTCTGGTGATCGCCCCTCTCCATCAGGCCTCTGAATACACTGGCCTCCCCACTCCTACCTGGCTTGCCCAGCCAGCTCCCTTTTTGTGTCCCTTCCTCCAGGAAGTCCTTCCTGACCTCTCCCGCTAGTGCCTACAGAGTCCCCTCCACCTCCCCTCCTCACTGATGACACTAGTTATGACCGCTTCCCTGCTTACCTGTTGGTTTTACCAACTGGCCCGCAGGGAGTAGCAGCTAAGTGCAGGGCCCTGACATCGGACAGCCTGGGGTCCGGCCCTGCTCTGACACTTGTTGGCCTGATGACCCTTGGGCAAGTTACTTCCCTCTCTGTGTCTCAGTTCTCCCTTTGTAAGATGGAATGATGATAGTATCTACTTCATAGGGTTCTTATGAAGCTTTTCAAAGGTTTTACATGTAAGTACCAGTGCCTACATGCATAGCAATTACTCAATAAATATTAGCTAGTATTTAACAAATAAGGTTGCGACATCGTAGATATTCAACAAACGTCTATTGAAGTTATTTTATTTAATTTGCATAATGCTTATTATATGTCAGGCATGTTCTAAGCATGTTACAAATATTACCTCACTTTATAGATAAGGAAACTGAGGCACAGAGATGTTAATAAGTTGTTCAACACGGCACAGCTAGTAAGTGCCAGAGCCAGAATGTAAACCCAGGAAGCCTGGCCGCAGCAGCCAGGCTTTTAAATGAGTGAATAAATGAACCTTTGTTTGAGCGGAGGGGAGGCAGGGTTCCATCTACGGAAGTTACTCAGATTCCACCTCTGGTTTCTTTCAGGTCCCAAGAGCACCCGGTTGGCAAGTGACATCTCTGGGATGTCAGTGAAGCTGGTTGGAAGCCAGAGGTAAACCACCAGGTCACTGCCCCCAGCATGTCACAGGTGATGTCCAGCCCCCTGCTGGCAGGAGGCCCTGCGGTCAGCTTGGCTCCCTGTGAGGAACCCAGGAGGGCCCTGCACCCAGCACCCAGCCCTGGCCTGCCACCCCAGTGTCCTTACTACACCACAGAAGGCTGGGGAACACAGGCCCTGATGACCCCCACGCCCTGCAAGTTGCCCCCTAGCAGCCTCCAGCAGGCGCCACAGGCTGGAGCCAAAGGCAGGTGCCTCCTGCCGTCCCCTGGGGAGCAGATCTCGGGGGCCCTGGAAGACCTTGACTCCTACATTGACTTCTCACTGGAGAGCCTCAACCAGATGATTCTGGAACTGGACCCCACCTTCCAGCTGCTCCCTCCAGGGCCTGGTGGACCCTGGGCCGAGCCCACCCAGAGTGTTACCTCGAGGAGGAAGAAGGAGGAAGCTGAAGCCTTAGGTAAGGAGCTGGGACACAGTGCCAGACCTCATGAGGAAGGACTTTTCTATCACATCAGAATAGAGGGAACAATGTCCTGTTGGGAAGTGCTGTGCAGCCCTAAACAAGTTGCTTAACCTCTGTTTGATCTATAAAAGGGAGAAGTATGTTTCCCTCAAGATCCAATTCTATTTGGAAAGTGGTGGATAGTTGTTTTATGTAATTTTTCAGAGAATTTAAATAAGCTAATATAAATAATATTATACAACGCCAGGCACATAAATAAGGTTAACAAATGTGGGGTCCCTGAACCTCCCTGTTCTATGGTGTCTCTCTTTAGCTCCTAACCTGGCCCCCCAAAATTTTTATAGGAGTAGTATTTCTACCCACCTTACCAATAACAAGAGATATACTCCAAGTATAGATAACAGTACAATATAGAAAAATAATCGGAATGTGATAAATTTTTGAGTATTTACTACTTTTGCTTTCAATATAAGTTATTTTAGTTTAGTTTATATAGTTTAATCTTTAGTAATGGCTGAGTTTAGCCACCAGCTGGACAAAGTCTTAAAGATTTAACAATCAGCTTTCATGAGCTGGTACCAGCCAACTCCAGCACACCACCACATCCAAGAGCATCTAGAAATCCTTGCATCTGGCTTCAGTTTCCCAAAGAGTTTCAAGTATACTTCTAGGATGAGGGTCAAGGAGCAGCAGCCCCATTTGACAGGCTGGAAGACTGAGGCCTCTAGGGGTTTAAACAATCAGTACAGGTTGGGGGAGCAGTTGGATTAAAGATGGGAACCAGGAGAATTTCTACTTATTGAGCATTTATCGTGCTCTCCAGGCACTGTGCTGAGCACCTAATAATTGAAACTTTAATCCTCCCAATCCATCTCCAGGCAGTGACTATTTCATCCCCACTTTAAAAATGAAAAGACTGAGGTTGAGGGATCTGAGTAAGGAGCCAGTCTGGCCTCATCACTGGAGTCAGGCAAACCTTACACAAGCTGTTAACTTCATTTCTTTGTGTCTCAGATTCTTCATCCATAAAAGAGAGATGAGTTCTTACCGCCAGGGGGTTGCAGGGATTTAAAGCAATCACACAGTATGGGTGTTTATCACAAACCCTGGCACATTGTCAGTCATGATAAATGGTGCCTGTTTATAATCAACATTGAGCCTGTGTTTAGAATCAGCTGCCCGAGGGTGGGTTCAGGCTCTGGGGTGGAGGGAGGAGGGTCCAGCAACCACGTCTTCTGGCAGCCAGGTTCCTGGTCTCCATCCTGCCTTCTGCTCCCCCCTCAGAGCGTTGCCTGCCAGGCCTGTTACGAAAACCACCTCCATTCCCCTCTTGAGAGTCTTCTGGCTTCTTAAGGCCAGTCATGGGCATGTCTCTGCAGGGAAGGTGGCTTGGGCCTAATTACCACTGGCAGGGGCAAGCCCAGAGCTCTAATGGTAATGCCCCAAGGCAGGGGTTCCACGCACTCAAGGCCAGCTGGGGTGAGACCAGTCTCCGTGGAACATGCACATGTATGGGGTGGGGGTGTTGACAACTGGGCCCTTCCCCCAGGGGACCGATGGGCAATAGTCTCTGTTTTCAGATGCCCCAGGCACAACCTGCCGTTTTGAGGATGTGTCTAACAGACTCTGGGCAGCAGGGGGCGCCAGGGGGCGGCAGTGGTCAGAAGGTCCCGATGAAGCCATCTAGCTCTGCCAATGCAGAGATCGATTTTTGTGATGCATAAAGGTAGATATAAGCGTCTACCCTGGGAAGGAAAGAGTGAAACTTCACTTACAGCTGGGAAGACTGAGGCTCAGCGAGGGGAAGTGATGGCCAAGCCACACAGCTAGTGAGTGAGAGGTCAGCTCAGAGCCTGGGCCTCTGGGCTCCAAAGTCCATGCTCCCGCCTTTCTCTCTTCCTGGGAGCTAGTCTCCTGCCCCCCAGGGAATAAATCCTTTTGGAAGCAGCTGTAGTTCCTCTTCTGAGGCTCCACCTCCCCAGTGCTTGCAAACCTTCCCGCAGCCTCCCTGCCTCTGCCTCTTGCTTACCTTCCTTCAGACTTAGCCTGGGGGCTACAGGGGTACCCATCCCACAGGGAAGCATATACCATATCCCTTTCTTTATCCCCTCCGCCACCCATCCCTGCCTTTGAAATAGGCCCCCACATCTCATTTTCCAGAATTCCTGCCAGGCAAGGCTGTGTGCCAATCCCAGGTAAAGGGCGTTTAATAACCATCTCTCCGCCCCCCACCCACCGCCGCACCCTCTCCACCCACCTGGCCTGGGGCTGGCGTCTGCATCCACCAGGCACTGCTCAGACTTGCCTTACGGGCCTGTAAACAGCAATTGCATCGAGGTGATGGGGTGGGGGCCTCCATCTCCCCGGCCACATCCACCTCAGGGCAGCGTTGGGCGGGGGGGCAGAGGAGGGAAGGGTGCCTCCTTTCCTTCCTGTCTGCCTGCTCGGCCTCCAGACAAGGCCTTTGGAGGGTGTTTGGATGACCCTGTGGGCAGAGCCCAGAGCTTCACCAGGCCAAGAGATCCTCCCCAAAGCAGCTGAGCACCTTCTAATGGCCAAGGCCTTGAGAAAGGGTCCTAAGGAGCACCCCTCAGAAGAGGCCCCCCCAAACAGAGCACAGCAGCAGAAGTAGGTGCCTCTACCTTTCTTCACCTTGATTTCTCACCTGTTACATGGAATTAATGTTTCCTACTCCAATCGAGTTGTCATGAGTGTTAAATGAGCTCATACACGTAATATGTCTGTAGCAGTGCTGGCACCCAGCACTCAGTAAATACCAGCCTTTATTAAAAACTGTGCAGGGGGCGGGGTATAGCTCAGTGGTAGAGCGTGTGCTTGGCACACACGAGGTCCTGGGTTCAATCCCCAGTACCTCCATTAAAAAAAAAATTGTGCAATAAATGTTAGTTCTATCCCCACATTGCTCCAAGCCTCAGTTTCTTCCTCTATAAAAGCAATGCCTCCTGGCCTTGGGCATGAGGGCTCTGTTGAGGCTTGAGAGGATTATGGGCGTAAATACTATAAAGTCCTGTTTAAAAAAAAAAATCATGCTTGCCAACCTTCCAGAAAAATCCATTCCAAGTCTCCTCTTTCAGAGCCCACAGTCCATTCTGCCAAATACTCTCCTCTTGCCCTCAGCAGTGGGACCCCCACCTGAGCCAAAGAGTATTCAGCATCCAGCCAATACTGCCCCTCAAAAGCAGGCAGGCAGGAGATGCTCCTCGAAGCCCAGGTGGGCCAGGCTCCAGGTTCCATTTACCAGTGTGTTTCCAGCCTCACTGCCATCTTGGGAGGTTGGCTTTAGATCCCCACTTTGCAGATGAGGAAACTGAGGCTCAAAGCAGTTAGGAAAGTTCCCAGATGTCTCCTGGTGAGAAAGTGGCAAAGCCAGGACTCATATCCAGGTTTGGTTGTTGACAAAGCCAGGCCTATTCCTCCAGCCCCTGAAACAGCATGCCCAGGTCAGCCTGCCAGCCCCCTGTATCTGATGCAATCCTCCACCCCCACCCTGGGCCCAAGCAGGCTCAGACAGAGGCAGTAACCATGAGCAGGGCCAGTAGGTCCTACCCAGGAGCGGGCTGGGACAGGCAGGGACTCCACAGTCATGCTGGGTGGGGGGATGGTGCATTGCCAGAGCCCAAGGGTGGGAGGCTGGCAGATAGGAGTGGAGGGTGCAGTTTCCTGCTGACTCTGTCCCAGTTTCCATCCTGGGAAGCCGGAGGCAGGACTCACAGCCCTCCAGAAGGGAGCAACTTGGTAACCCCCATCTTTCAACACCTTCGCTGGAACAGCACCGAGGACAGCTCCCCTCCCCCAAGTAAGGAGGTGAGGTACCCATCCTCACCATGGGGAGAACCACAGGGTGCCCCACTCCAGGAAGGAACAAGGTCTCAGAACAAGAGTTCTAGGTGTCCCCACTGGCGAAAGGACAGAGCATCAGAGTGAGTCAGCAGCCTGGGGCGTGCTTACGAACCATCACCCCTGGTCCACAGCTCAACAAGGCTGCAGGCTGTGCCCTCGGGGAGTTCTCTCTCTAACGCAGAGTCCTCAAACTCTAAAGTGCACCCAGATCCCCAGGGGTCTTGCTAAAGTGCAGATTCTGATTCAGCAGACCTGGGGTTGGCCGAGATTCTGCCCAACTGCCCAGCTCCTGGGTAAAGCAGTGCTGCTCGGCAGGAACCACAGTGGGGCTTCCCAGGGCACCTTGGAAACACCTAGGGAGTGAAACAGACACCCTGAGGCCTGGGCCCATCCCCAGAGGTTCTGGTCTAATTGGCCCGGGCTTTAGGACTTTTAAAAGCTCATTGAGTGATTCTAGTGTGCAGCCAAGCTTGAGAACCCCTTCCTCTAGTGCAGGCACAGACACAGAAACAGCTTTCACACGCCTGAGTAATACAGACATCCAAAGACGTGACCAGTGCGCTGCACAAAGCAGTCATTTCAACCTGGGGAGTGGAGCACACATGAAGGAGAGGCTCTTCCAGTTTTAAAGGGCTTACTATGTGCCAGGCACGGTGCTGCACCACCTTTGTTCATCTCAGTTCATCCTCGCTGGAACACCAAGAGGCTGGGTATGGTCGCCCCATCTTCCAGGTGTGGAAACTGAGGCTCTAGGTGGTGAAGTCATTTGGCCAAGGTCTCTCAGACAGTAAGTGGCAGAGCCAGATCGGAAACCCAGGTCTGACTGACTCTCAGGCCTGCACTCGTTCCACTGCCTCTCCCCACTCAAGGGAACATATCACAAAAAGGGTGACTCTGGGACCAGGCCCTGAAGGTGGAGCTGAATGCTGATCCTGATGTAATAAGTTTCACCGCTCTGAGCCTCAGTTTCCTCATCTGTATCAGACAGGGGAGACCAGATGGTCTTGAGGACACTTCTGGCACCCCTGTTCAGTGAACCCAGGTTCCTGGCTTTCATCAATGCTCTGCTTCTCTCTCCAAAGATATAAAGTACATTGAAGTGACCTCCACCAGATCAAGATGCCATGATGGTCCCCAGAGCTGCTCCAGCCCGTCTGTCACCACACCCTTCGGCTCCCCGCGCAGTGGTGGCCTCCTCCTTTCCAGAGACATCCCCCGAGAGACCCGAAGCAGCAGCGAGAGCCTCATCTTCTCCGGGAGCCAGGGCAGGGGCCACCAGCGCCCCTCTCCCACCTCGGGGGCTCCCCCCTCTCATCCCCCATCCTCTCCCAGCATCTCCATCCCTTGCGTGGGGAGCAAGGCCTCAGGTCTCAATGGCTTGGGCTCCCCACTGCTGGCTTCCCCACGCATGGAAAAGGGGCTAGGGGGCCCCACCCCACAGCTGGGCTGCAGGGTCTCTGTGCTGTCAGCCAGCCCTGCGTCTGATGTCAGCTATGTGTTCGGAAGGTAGGTCACTTCCGCTGTAGCTTCTGACAGTGCCTGCACCACACACACACACACACACACATCCTAAATCACAACCCTGCTCTTTTCTGAGCAAAATCTGGGCATGTGCCAAAAATAAGGGTGAATGTTCTCTTTCAGGCCATCATAGCCAGTTGGATCTCTAGGTTTCCTCAAGCATTTAGAACACAGTTCAATACACAAACAATCTTGACTTACACCTACTTCTTGGGAAAAAGAACCACTGCATTAATGAGGCCCACCTGTATCTTTTCCAGCCCTCATACAACCCATTTCAAGGAAGGTTTTTTTTTTTAAACCTCAAACCACAGGGATGTAAACAGAATTAGGGAGTCTGGGGTGAACCATCTAGGAAAGAAAAGCCTCCTTTATCTTTTTTATTTTTGCAGCCTCTTTTATTGAAGTATAGTCAGGTTACAATGTGTCGATTTCTGGTGTACAGCATGATGCCCCCTTCATCTTAATTCCTGGCAAAACCTAGCAGGAGGGAGGCAAACCCACCTGGGCATTATTTACAATCTCCCCAGCCCAGTTCTCTGCGGGCCTCACAGTAGAGCCGCACACGTTCCCATCCTGCCCAGGAAGACCAATCTACAGGACCTCTGTCCCCCATACCAATTCCAAATCCACTGTGCCAAAGCAGTCCCTGGCAAGGAGACTGGGATTCTGCAGCCATGCCCATTGGCAGGGCCCTCCGAGCTCAAGGAGAAGTCTGGCTGGATGCAGAGCTGGCCTCCTTCTCGTCCTCCAGCTGGGGAATTCCCTCTACATGGACCATGAATACGGTCCAGCACAGGTCCAGCCTATGTGCAGAACTCTTGAGAGGGATGGGGGAGCTGATGGGACAACTCAGTCGGAACTGCCTGGCTGGGAAGGCAGAGGGAATACAGTCCAGCTAAGCCTAAATGACCTGCAGGGGGCGGGCCCATTGGCTACTTTAACTGACCACAGATCTTACAGTGCAGGGACACTTCTGCATCCTTCAGCATCCTTGGGGATCAGGTGGGCATGCCCACTGCTCGGGACTATGGGTGGGCAGGGACTGTACACTACTCTGACCAAAGCCATAGGCACCCAGATCACTAAATTCCAGAGCCTCGCTCTGGCCCCCAAGTGTCACCCCAACCCCCTAACACTCTGCCTGTCTGGTGCTCCCTTCTTCTGCAGCAGCCAGTCCCTCCTCCACTCCAGCATCTCCAGCCATCAGTCATCTTCTAGATCCCTGGAAAGCCCAGCCAGCTCTTCCTCCAGCCTCCACAGCCTTGGCCCAGTGCCCTTGAATACCAGAGTCAGTGACTTCCGGGTCCCCAGCAACCCCACCCCAAGCGTGGGCCAGCCCAGAGCAACCCACTCCCCACCACTGGCCAAGGAACATGCCAGCAGTTGCCCCCCCTCCATCACCAACTCCATGGTGGACATACCCATAGTGCTGATCAACGGCTCCCCAGAACCAGGATCTCCCTCACCCCTGAGGACCCCAGGACACCAGGACTTTGTCCGATCCGGGACTACTTCCTCCAGCAATGCCTGTCCAGCGACCAGGAGCCACAGCCAGACCCTGCCAGATGCTCTTCTCAGCACATCCCCAGAGGGTAAGTTGTAAACCAATCAATGCCTCATGCGTTCTAAGGTTTGGCTAAGAGGGAGAAACAAAGCACCAGTGGGTTTCTGCCACAGCAGGTCAACCCACTGATGAAGCAAGCACTGTGCTAAGTAGTAGGGACACAGTCTAGAAAGAGAGACAAAAACCAAAGAATCACTGTAGAGCAGGATAAACACAGAGGTAGAGAGATGTTCCAAGTCTTATGGGGCCACTGAGGAAGGAGTAAGCCTTTTCGTCTGGAGAACTGGGAAGGCTCCTCAGAGGAAGTGACATCCTCGCTGGATCTGGAAAATGAATCAAAAGCCCGTGGCCAGAGCAGGAGAGGAAGGGCATTCCCAGCAGAGGGAACTGCCAGTCCATAGTTGTGAAGGTGGGAAAGCACATGACATGCTTAGAAAGTGACTGGAGTGTTGGGTGCGGGGTAAGGTCCTTGAGAGTAACTTGGGACCAGATTGTGAAAGACCCTGAACACCAAACTAAACAGTGGATTTTACCCATTAGGCAACAGGGCAGCATCAGAGACTCTCAAAAGGAGAGTGATGGGGAGGATCAGAGGCACATGTTCAACAGGATGAATTGCAGGGCCTGGCCTGGCAGGGAGAGCCGTTCTCATTTGGTTCTGTTTGGGTTTTCATCATGAAGTGGTCCAGACAGGCTGTAACGGGGGCCCAAACCAGGGTGAGGCAGAGGGTGGAGGAGAGGGGACAGAGCCAAGAGACCCTCAGGATATGGAAGCAGCAGGCTTGATGAGTAACCCTAGAGCGGGAGAGGGAGCGTCAGCCCTAATGCTGACGTTCGTGAATGACGAACACAGACAGGGGGAGGACGGAGTAACGGAGACAATGCATTCCAGTTCAGACAGCTAAAAACCACAAAATAGCAAACACCCTCCTTCCCGTAGTCTGTGACTACAGGCGTCCAAAAAGAACAAAGCCAACCAGAACCCAAAGCAGTAACAAAGCAGTAAACATGGAGGCGAAGCCTTAGCACCCCCAGGGTGCGGCTCTCCTAGGAGCAGAGCTCCCAGCTGAGCCCCAAGGACCCTGTCAGTGGGTCGCTTCTCCCTCGTGGCTCAGACATCCCCTTCCCCACCTCCGGTTTCTCAGCCCTCACTTGGCCACAGACATCAAGGGACTCCTGGAGGGTGTGAAATGCTCACTCCAGCCCACTGCTGGTTCCCACTCAGGAAGCCATGTCAGTGCAACCAAGGAAATATGAGGTGACAAGCATGCCTTTGAAGCTGCTCTGATCATTTTCCTAGGACAAATCGTTTGCAGATTGCAGTACATTTCTTATAATGAGTTACTCTCAACTGGCCTCAACACACCTTTTCAAGATGCTCTGTGCCTTAGGGCCCCAGGAAAAAGGACGTTTTGGCATCTCAAAGAGCACATTTACTTAGCCTGGTGATACTGCCGTCCTGGTTTGGTGATGTCCCAGATGATCACTAATTATACTCCAGGATATTATCAAATTCTGCAGAATAGTCTCAAAACAAAATTCATCTTAATTTTCAAGGCTATTGGAGCATTAAAGACCCTCAGGGATTTTTAGTCCCCTCAGTCCCTTCTGGGCTTCAGGAGGGCAACAGTTATCCCAGATCAGAATCAAAAGTCTCATCTCCTGACTTCCAGGTGCAGGTTCTTCTGCCAGATCTACTGTTTTCCTTTCTTTCTCCTTTTCTTTCATTTTCTTTTGCAAACTGAATATACCTCCAAGTAACTCATAGGATGATTAAAGGGGGAGGAAAATGTGAAATTAAACAAATGATGCATCTCAGAGTCCCTTAGTTATGCCTTATTTCAGTCTCTACCAGGCAATATTCAATCTGAGAAACTGTTTCTCATTAAATCAAGGTTTTATCTATTTGTGATTTATTACCAAGGATACAAGGGGAGACTCCTAGATCCTAGTCCCACCAAGCCCTGGGACTCTTCCGATGGATTTTGCCTCTTTAGGCAATTGGAGATAAAATGGGGTAGGGGGAGGGAAGGGTGGGTTGAAAGCGACTGCTGGGCAGAGGAGGGGGAAGGGTCTCTCAGCTCCCCTCTGTCCAGCCTACAGGATCCCCCTCCTCTGTCTCTCTCCAGGTCCCTCCAGGGACATGCAGCCCACCATGAAGTTTGTGATGGACACATCCAAATACTGGTTTAAGCCAAGCATCACCCGAGAACAAGGTAAAAGGAAGCACTGTGTTTCAGGGAATGAGTGACCCAGGAATCAGGTCTGGGTCCTGGCATCCCGCATCAGGCAGATGGGGCCTTGAGTCCATGTAGAGGAGGGACCAGCAGATGGCACGTCCAGGGAAGGGTGGGGAGGGGGTGCGGGGCAGGGGGGTCCTGAGGACCTCCATGACCTAGGAAATAATGCCTGCAGCAGGAATGGTGGAGGTTAGACAGTAGAAGGGACTTCCTGGGAACAAAAGGTGATTCTGTGACATCTGTTCTATGAAGACCCTACGGGGCTGATGCACTGAGGGGGTCAGGGTAGGGTGGTAACTATCTCTGACCCAAGGATTGTTCCAGCCATTGAGCTGCTGAGGAAGGAAGAACCAGGGACTTTCATCGTGAGGGACAGTTCTTCATACCGAGGATCCTTTGGCCTTGCCTTGAAGGTGCCAGAGGCCCCCGTGCCTGCCCAGAACCGATCAGGTAGGCACTTGTCTCTGTCCTCGCTCAAGGCCTCTCAGAGGCAACAGGGTGTGGTTGCTGGGTGACCTTGGGCCAGTCCCATAACGACTCCTGGGAGGAGGGTCTACCTCAGGGCCCTCCCAGCTGCCCTCCAGCACCAAGGCTCTATGAGAAGTTTCTTTTGCAGTGACCCAAAGCTGCCTCTGCCTCCTCAATTCCCCAGATTCCCTGCTCTGCTCTCGTAGTGGGAAGAGGAGGAGGGTCCCAGCCCCCCTGCCAAGCTGCTCTCTTCTGGGTGCCCACCTCTGTCTAGCCCGGACTTACGCAGAGGGAACCTAACACAGTAAGACTGTGCGTGCTAGCTTATCCTCTGTAGTCTTGCGCACACAACATACATCCATAGGGCATCCACCCTGCCCCAGGCACCGTGCAGGTGTGCACCGGGGAGACCACACCTGGGAAAGATACAGAAACAGATCATTGCATTACAAGGTACCTGAGTCACAGCCCCTCACCTAAACCCCAGGAGTGGAACCAGTGGAGTAACTGATGCTCCAAGAGGGAATCAATGAACCCCCAGAACAACCAAGTGATAAAGCAAGAGGATAAAAACTCCAGTTCCACATTCTCTACACCACACCTCTCTGTTTAAATAAGAAAGTGACTTCTGGGGCCGTGTTGGTTATCAGAGAAACCTTGCCAAGGAGCCCAAAGCAAGCCGGAAGCTGTGGGCGGGTGAAGAGGCAGGGGGCGTGGTCTGCCCTCCCAGGGCCAGGCCAGCCTGGCGCCAGGAGCATAACAGCACCTGGGGTGGGGTGGGGTGGGGTGCGGTGGGGTCGGCGGAGGGAAATCAGGGGGAAGAATTTCGAGGTTTCGATTTGATCTAAACAGCGTCGGAAACCATCCTTGACAGCTGTTAAAACCAAGAAAATGGTCTCCTGAAATAATTACTGGACACGGAAGCTTTTGAGCAAAGGTGTCAGCAACTCGTTTGTGGGAGACCTTTAGGGTAGGATTCCTACCTGCCTACCTGCAGAGGCAGGGGGATGAACAAGTTAACCTCTGGATGCATCTGGAGGATGCGCTTCAGAAAGTGAGTTGGGCGGTGTTTGGCGAACCTCGAGCCTGGAACTCCCAACCACATGCACTCTTTGTTCTTTCTCTGTCCAGGGGAGGACAGCAGTGATCTCATCCGCCACTTCCTCATTGAGTCTTCCGCCAAAGGGGTGCATCTCAAAGGAGCAGACGAGGAGCCCTACTTCGGTGAGCCTCTCCAGCCCGAAGGCCCTTGGGGGACCCCCAGCCCTTCCCTTCTGGGCTGGGCAGGTGACCTGGGGACCACCTCCTTATGTAGGGCTCCCGGTTTCCCTGCAGGGAGCCTCTCCGCCTTTGTGTGTCAGCATTCCATCATGGCCCTGGCCCTGCCCTGCAAACTCGTCATCCCGCAGAAAGGTGGGTCTGGGCCCCTGACCTGTTTGTTCTCAGTAGAAAGGTGCCTGAGGTGTCACTTCTCACCTTACTTGGGGATTGCTTTAGTGTGGCAGTTAAAAGTGCAAGCTCTGGAGTCCAGCAACACCTCCAGTTCTTAGCTGTGAGAATATGAGAAGGTTAACCTCTCTGAGCCTCGGTTTCCTCAGCTATGACATGGGCACAGGTGTCATCACACCTACTTATAGGATGGGTGGGGGGATTCAGTGAGAGCTCAGGCAAGGCTCTTGGCCCCACGCCTGGCGCAGAGTAGATATTTGAGAAATAGTAACCTTCCTGGAGAGGCTGAAAGCAGCATTAACCTGCCAATTTGGTGAGGTTTGGTTTTCTTCCAGGTCCAACATTTACTGGGCACCCCCTCATTCATTCACACCTCACTCCAACCCTGTGAAGTAGGCCTTGCAGTTAGCATCCCTGTTTCACAGAGAAGAGGCAGGTTTGAGGCGTTAAGTAATTTACAGAGTCAGACCTCGATCCCAGATCAGGAAGCCCCATCCAAGCTTACAGTCCAGCTGGTCCCCCAGATGGAGCACCTCATCTCAGTGTGGGGTGTGGGAGGAGCAGCGAGGGGGGTTCTGGGAAAGGAGTCGAGGCCAGAGGAGCCCCTGGTTTGGTGGTGGAGAGGGCCTCCCTGCTTTCTGTAAAAAAGGCATGGGTTTGGAGGGGGGTCCGGAAGAAGGGAGAAAGTCAGGGGCCTTTGAGGACCAAGTCCCAGCTGCAGTCCAGGGGCTGGAGGAGGGAGAGGGACAGAGGGATCAAAAGGTTTACAAGCTGGCATTTGGAGAGCCCCAAGGTCTGCCTAATCACAGAAATCACACCTGGTTTCTCAGCCAAGTCACTTCCTGAAGGTGGGGGCGGAGGTGGGAGATGTTCACAGGGCCTGTTCCTATAAGAGAGGTCCACTGACTGCACCTCCGCCCCCCTGGGGGCCTGTTCTTTTGCTTTGGCTCAGAATTGGGAGGTGGAGACGGGGCCTCAGATCCCTCTGTGGATGGCCGGGCCTCCTGTCCGAAGAAATCTGCAGGTGAGTGGTACGGGGGAGGCTCCGGGCTTAGCTGTGTCCCCGGAGGGCACCTCCCAGCCCTGCGCACACGCACACGCAGGTCCACACGTGTTTCCCATTGCAGCTTTATTGCTTCATCTTTAACAAGGTGCCACATTCCTCCCCCACCCTGTAAGCCAGGAGAGGAGAGGCTGCAGGCAGTCGGCCAGGGGCAAGAGCTTCGGGCAGGAGGGAGGTGCGGGCAGTGAGGCTTACACCCCGTCCTGCACACACAGACGTGCTGGGGTCTCTCTGGGTCTGCAGAACCTGTCCTGGTGGTGTTCTCTGGGTCTGGGATCCTCTGTGGAGCGTCAGGTCCAAGTCCTGGGGGTCCTGGGGAATTTACAGGGGAAAGGTTACTTTTCTTCACATCCGGGGGCCAGACACAGGTCAGCACTGTCTGAGTGACAGCTCCTACTCTGTGTCCCTGAGCACAATGGCCCCTCCCCATTCCTGACTCCTCTCCCTTCTCCCAAAAAGGAGCCAGGGCCCCAGGCAGGTAGGGTGGAGGTAGCACTAGCCAAGGGTCTAGACAGAAGGAAGGTTTGCCTGGACGCCCCTATACACAGAGCATCACCCCCTCCCTTGTCCCCTGCTGGAGGGCCAGGGGCCAGAGCAACACAAAGCAACAGATGATCCCAAAGTCCTCTGGAGTTGGCCCAAAATTTCAGTCACCCACAAGTGCCATGCTGGCTTGCCTGGTGGCTCAAAGAGGAGCCCTACGAGATTTCCCAAAGAACAAAAGCACCTCCATCTTCTGGCTCTGGGCACAGGGAGCACCAGGGCCTGGCTGACTCCCACCCACCCAGTGGACTCTGGCAGGGCCCAGCGCAGTATCTGCAACCCACAGGTTGCCACGCCCTGTACCTGAGCTCCGTGAGCGTGGAGACCCTGAGCGGAGCCCTGGCTGTGCAGAAGGCCATCTCAACCACCTTGGAGAGAGAGGTCCTCCCCACACCCACCGTGGTCCACTTCAGAGTCACTGAGCACGGCATCACCCTGACTGATGTCCAGAGGAAGTAAGGGGCTTCCCTTGCCCGGGGGCTGCAGGGCTGGGCAGCATAAGCTGGAGGCGAGGGCTGAGACAGCTGTGGGTCAGCAATGGAGAGGAGGTTCAGGCTCCAGGACCCAACAGGGACAGTGACATGCTGAGTGACTCCAGGCAAGTTCTCTGCCTTCTCCAGACCTCAGTCCAATGACCTCCTGCCAAAGTCCCCCTTCATCACTGACTGATGGATTTGGGATTAACCAGTATCCACTGGCACTGAATAAATCTGCACCCACTGATGAAACAACTTCTGTAGGCCAGACTGGCTGACCAGTGGGATGCGGTGGAAGGAGGCCACTCCTTCCCAGCCTCAGGGATTCAGTCTAGCAAAATCCTGGTCCTGGACTGGAGGAATAAGGGATGACCAAGACGTGACTCCTATCCTCGAATAGTTCACTGGCGTGGTAGGCAGCGGGGGGAGGAAGGGGTCAAAAACCCCAACATATAGGACACAAGGCAGACACACTTCATAAAAGGAGAGAAAGATAAACATGTGCCCAGGCCCAGTCATGGGAAAGGTCACCAGGCTGTCAGGGGACGAACTGGGAGGCTTCTTGGAGGACAAAGAGCTGGAGATGATGGAGGCGAGGAGGTGGGACCGGCTCTCACCAGCTCCCCTTCTCTCCCCGCCTCCTCCCAGGGTGTTTTTCCGGCGCCATTATCCCCTCAGCACCCTCCGCTTCTGTGGCATGGACCCCGAGCAACGGAAGTAAGTTCAAGGCTGCGCCAACCTTAGAAGGCCATCTGGGGCCTAGCTGCTCACGGACGCTGGGATTGGGATCTCAGACAGATCCTGTGAACCTGGAGGGGTCAGGAGCAACAGAATGAGGGGAGGGGTGTGATGGGGCAGGGATGCGGCTGGCCGTTGTCCCCTGATGCTTGGCCAGAGTCCTGGGGAACGGAGCCAAGATTCGGTCCTCATGACTGTCCGTGTTCCTTTCCCGCAGGTGGCAGAAGTACTGCAAGCCCTCCTGGTAAGGCCTCCGTACCCACTCAGTTACCACGAGAGGGCTCCCTGGGGCGGGCCCGGACCCCGCGCAGGGAGGGAGTTAGGGAAGGCGGGAGGCCCTGCCCTGACCTTGAGCACGAGCCCTGGCCCTCGGGGACCCTCCGGTTTGATCAGGCCAATGGAAGCCTGGAGCCCTCGGTCTCACGTGGGAGGCGCAGGCTGTCATCTGTAGGGACACCCCAGTCTAATGGTCAAGATGCTTCTTTGTCTTCAGGAAGCTTTCACTCTGACCAGGGAGACACAGATCCTGTCCTCAGGGGGCCCCTCTCCAATCAAGGGAACGATCCCTGATCTTGAACTCAGGGATCTCCCAGTTGGACAGGGGAGGCACATCCTCCCCTAGCAGAGACTCCATCATAATAAGGTGGGGGAGCACTTGGCTGGGGACAGTCAGGGAGCAACACTGTGTAGGCTGAGGCCCCCATTCCCAGCCTGGCACTTCCCCGGTCCCACCCCTCACACAAGCTCTCCTCTCCCACCAGGATCTTTGGGTTTGTTGCCAAGAGCCAGACCGAGTCACAGGAGAATGTCTGCCACCTCTTCGCAGAGTATGATGCGGCCCAGCCAGCCTCACAGGTCATCGGCCTGGTGGGCACTTTCCTGCAGGACCCAGAAAGGATGTAGGGGAGGGAGCTTCCCAGATGAATCCCAAAGGGCTTGCTCAGGATGCCCCCTCCAGCCTGAACAAGGGGCTTGTGGCCATGCTGATGGACCAATCTATGGGGTTGGAGAACAGTACCAAGTTGAAACCCTTGAACCCACTATGACCTTTGGCAGTGACCTTCGTCCAGAGCCCCCTGGGCCTCAGTTTCCTCAGCCTTGAAAAAGGCCAAAAGACAGGATCAGCTGTTCCTCCCAGATGTCGGTGGGCACATTAACGAGCTCCCTGTGATGCTGAAGCACATCAGCGCCTGAGGACCCCCACATGGAAACAGCCTCTGAAGACCCCTGACTCCATCAGCCTCGACACTCCTGACATATCAGCCTGAGTTAGAGACCTGTGACCCCTGTTTCATGGCCAACAGCAGGTGCTGGGTCGGGACCCTTGGGCCCTGGCCAGAGGCTTGCCTGAGACAGATAGTATGCAAGGGTTGAGGACCAAAGGAACGCCTCTCTTTCCCTCCATATCTGTTCCTTTCCCCATTTCCCTGATGGTTTCTTGGGCAGCTATCACCAAAACCAAGCTAGATCTGCCTGCCCTGGATTCTTCAGGCCAGCGTGGCCATGGGCAGGTTAGCAAGTGGGAACTTGCCCCCATAGTCAGAGATGACCCAGCTGTCCTCAAGATCTTGATGTCTAATCCCCTCCATTGCAAGTGAGCATCAGCTTCATCTTTTCTTTCATTTTCTCACAAGTGACTGTGCCACAACTGCCTAATCTTACTTGCGTAACCCACACCTAGGGGTGGGGGCAGGGAGACCCCCTGCTTGCTAGAGCAGACACGAGAGCCAGCTGTCTGGTTCTGCCTCAGCCCCGGTCTTTCTTGCTGAGTCCTCTCTGTCCCCCAAAACACACACACACATACACACACACACACACACACACGCACACCACCCCCACCCCCACTGCGGCGGCAACTGGCCTCATAGCCACATGAGGGCAGCAGAGAGTTAAGAATGCAAACCGGCAGCCTCCCCAGGAGGCTTGGAGAAGCTGGGTGGTCTTTCCTGCCCCACCCCCATCCCCATCAAGACCCCGGAGACGTTGAAATCATTTGTATAGCGGAGCTGGGATCCTCAGAAAACTACACCCTGAAGGTGGAAGAGGAGACTCAGAGAAAGAGCCCACTTCTCTATGAGGGACAAGTGCCTGCTCCCTCCCAACTGGGGGCCCTGCCAGAGAATCATTATCTTTGGCCAAAGTTGGGCCTATTGGTTTTCTGGGTTATTATTTCAACCCAGAAAACCAAACCAGACTGAAGCAGCCCTGGGCTGGCGGGACTGGCTGAGACCAGCCCACCCAGCCTGTGGTCAGCACTGCCCCACTCCCAGAGACTACCGAAAGCTAGACAAGGTTCTCAAGGTCACAGTGCCCAAGTTCTCAAGGTCACAGCCTGGGGGCTGGCAGACAGCCCCCCTCATATACTCATGGGCACCTTATAGCTTCCATTGTGGAAAATAAAGTGTCGGTCCTTGCACAAGAGTTGGTCCTGAGGCATTCAAGGCATTCCCTCAGAGATGGAAACCTGAACAGAAAGGGGGACCTGAGGTGGCAGGTGGCTGTGTCTTCACCCCCTCCCACATCCTGGCCATAGCAGGACAGTCTCCACTGGCTTCCACTTCATGAACCGTCTCTTAAGCCATCTGTGTCCCCCTTGTGTCCGACATACCCGTTTTCCTTCTTCACAACCCCTTTCCTGCCACTCTGCCAGGAAGACAGGAGGCCTGAGATGAGCACGTGTGACAGCCCTGCCAGCTTCCAGGGCCTCACTCGGGCTCCCTGAGGGCGAGGAGAGGTGGGTGAAACGTGAGCAGTTCAAGAGGAGTCCGGAAGAGTCCTTCAACACACATGAGCCCCAAGCTACCAGCCCAGCCCTGGAGACTGGACAATGGCCCCATCATTCGTCCTGGTTCTGCGGGATGACAGTCCTCCCTCCCACCTCCAGTCCCGCAGTAACGCTCCCACCAAGACTTCTCCAGACCCACTGCAGCTAGAGGTTCCAGGTGGCCAGGTCACAGAACGTCTCACCAAGTGATGCAGGAGGGGGCTGCAGGGGTCTTCCTCTCCCACAGAGCCTTAGGAAGGGGACAGTTGCCACTTCTGTTTGGGCTGAGTTGTGTGACACCGTGGCAGGGGCTGCCCTGGAGGAAGTGGAGAGACCTTCCCAATGCCCTTGAACCAGCACTGAGTAGCCCTGCCTCCCCTCTCACTGCCCACCTGCAGTTCCCAGGATTGGGGGTTCTCTTCCCCTGCCCAGCCCCCTCCCTGGCCAAGGACAGAGTCCACGGGAAGTAATGACCTCTGCTGCATTTCCATAGCTCATCTTTCCTCCAGGAAGACTTTACAGAGAACCTAATGACTTTTGCTGAGGGGCAGAGCAGCCAGCCCAGCAAAGGTCACTTCTCCCAGCTTCCCACCCTACCCGATCCTCTTCTCCATCCCTCTTGCTACACACACACACCACCAGTCATCTCTCCCCACTTCCCCTACCCAGTGTCTCCTTCCTCGCCTTTCTCCTCATCAGACCTTATCCACACACTCACCCCCAAACCCATCCTCTCCCCCTTTATGGAAAACCTCTCTCACTCTTGTCCCATTAAATCCCCTCACCCCTCTCTCCCAGGTGGCTGGACCCACAACAAAGCCAGCTGCTGCTAGAGGTGATGAGAAAGGAGGGGAAGCAGCTCCCTACATCACCATTTTTCAAAACTCAGATTCCATTGCTCTTTAAACCCTGACTGCTCTCTGGCTACAGAGCAGACTATCCAGAAGGCTGAAGCACCCTCACCCCTACCCCATCTGACCAGCCACCTCCCCTGCACGCATGTCCCACTGAGGGCTGAGGCAGCTCACCTCTGCTCTTTCATCTCCTGGGCCTCCTGTCCTGACCCCTCATGCCATCCAATAGGCTGAGGGCTTGGAACCAGGGCAGGAATGGGAGGCTAAATTCTCCCAACCCAGAGGTCAGTACCTGATTCATGCCACAAATGTTTCCTGGCTGCATGCTTTGTTCATGTGAGTCACAAAAACAGAGAAATAGAGCAGTGTTATAATGGAGGTTTATAGGAGCCATGCAGAGCTGGCAGGAAGGGTAGAAACAGGGAAGATAAATTTTCCCTATTTGGGGAAAATGAGGGCAATTTTACCAAGGAGGTAACATTTGAGTTGGGTCTTCAGAGTTGAATAGGAGTATAACAGCAAAGAGTTGGGGGAAACAACTTTTACTGGGAGGGCTCCTGTATGCTAAGGGGAATGTGAGGTACAGTATATATGTTTAATCCCATTTTGCAGATTAGAAAACGGAGGCTTAACTAAAAAGCTAGTGAGTCAAAGAGGAAATTAAAAAGTACCTTGAGACAAATGACAATGAAAACACAACCACACAAAATCTATGGAATGCAGCTAAAGCAGCCCCAAGAGGGAAGTTCATAGTGATGCAGGCCTTCCTCAAAAAAGAAAAATCTCAAATAAACAACCTAACCTACCACCTAAAAGAATTAGAAAAAGAAGAACAAGCAAAACCTAAAGTCAGCAGAAGGAAAGAAATAATAAAGATCAGGGAGGAAAGAAAGAAAATAGAGATTAAAAAAAAAAAAAGAAAAAGAAAACTGAGACTCAGAAAGTTAACTTGCCCTCACTCACCTAGCTAGTAAGTAGCAGAGAAACAGGATTCCCAGCTTGAGCCCACTCCATGGCCTCAGGACTCTCAGACAGGCAGATAGATGAATTTGTGTATGAAGCACCGAGGTATGAAAACATACCATGTTCAGTGTGGTTAAAATATATGGTACCCGAGGGAGTAAATGAGAGAGGAAGCAAAGGAAAGAGGCAGGATCTGGATCATTAAGAGCCTTGGATGCTAAGCTGAGAGTGTCCAAGAAATGAATGCTTGTTGAATGAATGAATGAATGAATGAATGAAGTTAAACTCAGGACTGCTGTGTACAGTTGTGCAAGTTGCACGATGCACAGTTGTACGTGTCAACCTGCTTGGACTTCATCCTGTAGGTAATGGGGAGACATCAGAGGCTTTTCAGCCAGAGAGGAAGCGACCAGATTTTTGGGGTAAGAGAAAGCCTGGGTTGGGGAGCAGTGTGATGGGAAGAGGACGCTGTGAAGACTCGGAGTTCAGGCCAGGGAAAAGGATAGGGGCTGTCATCCCGAGACAGGCTGGGACAGGAGTATACTTGATCTGGGCCCAGGGACCGGGTTCTCTGAGCTCTAAAGGACCATGTGGGAAAGAGCAGGACTGGGGGCCCCCGCTCCCCCCGGGGATTAGTCTGCTCAGATTGCCATCACGAAATATCAGAGACTGGGTAGTGTAAATAACAGACACTTGTTCTGTCACAGTTCAGGAGCCTGGAGGTATGAGATCAGGGTGTCAGCATGGCTGAGTTCTGGTGAGGGCTCTCTTCTTGGCTTGCCGATGGCCACCTTCTCACTGTATGCACATGTGACCTTTCCTCGGTGCATTTTCCTCTTCTTATGAGGCTACCTATCCTTTCAGATTAGAACCCCACCTTTATGGCCTCAGTCACCCTCCTAAATTACCTCCTAAGAGTCCTAGCTCCAAATGTAGTCACACTGGGGTCAGGCTTTCAACGTGTGAATTTGTGGGACACAATTCAGTCCATAGCACCCCCTCCATACAGGGCCCTGCCCCAGCCATGTTTCCCACCCCCACGAGCCCCCAAGTCCTCACCAGGCTGGGGCTCTCAGCCCCAGCAAAACAGACCCTCTTCTTCCTGAGTGTGTGCCCATGCTGCCAACCAGGGGCTCGGTTTGTGACTCTCTGTTTCCTGGAAGGCGTCTTAACCCTCAATGTCTCCCCAGTTGAATCTTGCCAGGGAGGCAAGTGGAGCTTGGCTTGGAGCAGGCCTGGGGGCAGGGAGACAAGCCAGGAGGAGGGACCAGAAAGAGAGAATGAGGAGGGAGAGAGAAGGAAGAATAACACTCACTTATTCATTCGCTCAGTCACTGAATACGCGCTGAGCACCCAAGTCAGCAGTACAGAATTAGGTACCCCCAGGGTTGGCCAGGCGGTGAGGGGAGGGCTGCCTGTGCCCCAGGAGAGATGTTATCTCCTTCACAGCATTCAGACTGGACACCCCATGAACACTGAGATGGGACATGTCCTTTCCCTAGCTCATCCCACTCCTACCTAGGCGCACATGCACACGCACACACGCAACATCTCTCTCCTGCATCCAGAATTAGAAGCCTGGTGGTCAGGCAGATCTGGGTGGCGGGTCCCTTGTGCCATTGACTAGCTGCATGATTTAGGGCAAGTCACTTCTCTGGGCACTGAGCGGGGTTTTCCTCACTTGTAATATTCACCTCATAAGTAGGGTTGTGAGAAGCCTGGAGTCACACTGGACATGAACGCACTTTGTAGGCTATGGGGTATGAATGTTCATTAGGAGAAAGATAGTGGGCCTATTGACTTTTCATTTAGCACCTAACATATGCCAAGTCCCAGGCTGCTGGAATGGGAGCTCTACGAAGAAGAGGCTAGAATGTTCACATGGAATCCCCAGCACCTGAAACAGTGCCTGGCGCGCATCACACCAGCAGTATGTATCTGTTAGATGATTTGCCATGAATTATTTAATCTTGACAGCAACACTATGTAGGTACCATTATATACCTTCATTTGATGGAGATGGAACTGTGGATTAGGAGATTAAGTCAATTTCCCAGGGTCCAACCATAATAAATAGCAGAGTGTGATTAGAACCCAGGTGATCTGGACCCAAACCCCTGGTGATGATGGTAAGGATGACATTTGGAGCTTATCAACCCAGAGGTCATCAAGTCCAATCCCCTGCCTCCACCTTCACCGGGTTAGGGTGGTCTGCCC